ATCATAAGTCCTGAATACCCAAACAAAGTAAAGACATTAGTCCAGTTAAGCCAAAAGAATTTTCATAAACAAAATAAATTAGTAAATAATCTTTTAAATTTAAGTTGTTTACTAAGAACACAATTAAACAGGATGCCTACTTTAGAAGATGTATTCCCCCAACATGCAATTCTCCATCCCAACTTTATGCAATTCTTTTTCATTTCTCAATTTTTTTAACACTGGGGGAATTGTCACTTTATACAACCTGAATTCAATATTCTTGCACAGTGCAATACCCTGAAGTTATGCAAAAGGTGGGACTGATGAAAAATGTGTAAGTTGGGAGGGGGAAATTTAATTCTGTTTTAGTTAAAAATCTGATGTGTACACCTCATGACTTCCTTGTATGGAATATTAAATTATACGCATTTTTTTCTTTGGATTGAATTAAATCTACTTCGCCGACAGCGCATAAACCACAATAGAATAAATGTATTCTTTAAAATTCACTCTATTTGTTTACCATAGCAACATTCTCGTGCTAGGTTCACTTAACAGTATTATATTTTGTTCATATTATAATTCAGAATGCACAAAATTTATACATTTAAAGAATTATCTAATCGTAGCCACATGTTCTATTCAAATACTGTAATAAAGCTAGAACGATGTATAAAAGAAATTAAGCAAACAAAACAAAAAAGAAACAGTTTTTCACAGACGATTGAGTATTTCTCATTCAATTAATTCAGTTCTCACTTCGCGACAAGGAAAAATACATAAAAACTCAAAATATCTGTATTAAAAATTATGAAGTAAATCTTAAACACTTATTTCCTCGAAAAAATTCCAGAAAAGATTAAACATGATTTAATTCACAATAATAAATTAAGGCATTATCTTTGTTGTTGCGAAGCTAAGTTTCTCTAGATTGGCAACAAATCCACTACTCTGCTGTTTCAAATGTAAACAAGCAATGGCGTCCATCCAAAAAAATTATTAGGCTTAGCGGCACTTAAACAACTTTAAAATTGCTGATAATTCTAAAAATATTGCATAGAGATTTACTAAAGGCATAAAACACTTAACCGGAAGATAAAAACAGGAAAAAAATGTACAATTTACAAACATATAAGAGTAAAGAAACTGAGATCACTGAGCCGGGTAACAGAGTTATATATATAAATATATTTATATACGTTTGGCACAGCCGATTGCAACCAAAATACGAGGTGCACATCTACATGTTATAGCAGTCCTTTATACAAAATTTCAACATTCTGAGGCTACTCGTTTTTGAGTTATGTGAGATGCATGCGTTCGTACAGATGCCACGAAAAATTCTCTTCAGAGTTCATTTTAAAGCAGTTCTTTAATTTTTTTGGAGGAAAAGAGTCTTTTTATTCTGTCCTTACATACAGATATTGCACAAAAACATCGTTAAATTGCATTCGTAAGTGGTCAAAATGGATATTTTCTTTGAAATATGCTGCCTGAAACTTTTCGTGATTACAATACTTCCTTTTTATTTCGTACAAGGAAGTAAAAATGGGAAAGGGCTGAAAAATACTTATATGGAAGAGAAGCCATAAAAATTATATTTTTCATTCATCTGAATACAAAACCGTATTAAAATATGTGTGCTACATAAAAATGGAGTTATTTTAATGTCAGAGCCTTCTTTTGACAATTCAGTTCATAATTATAAAGGAGAAAAATTTTTAAAAAGGGCCACCCTTTACTCTTTTTTTTCCCCTAAAGAATAAAAAAGTGCACTATTTATATAGCATACATAGGGATTTTTGAAGAGGGATGTGAAGTTTTACAATATTTATCATATCCTTTGGTGTATATCATTTCTTTAAAGCTAGCTGTAATATATAGGTAGATCTTGTTTTGTGTATGATCATTTTAATGCATATTATTATAAGCATCACTCAAGCCATAAAAATTATATTTTTCATTCATCTCAATACAAAACCATATTAAAATGTATGTGCTACATAAAAATGGAGTTATTTTAATGTCAGTGCCTTCTTTTGACAATTCAGTTCATAATTATAAAGGAGAAAATTTTTTAAAAAGGCCACTCTTTACTCTTTTTTTCCCCTAAAGAATAAAAAAGTGCACTATTTATATAAAGAGAACAATTTCATTGTCTGTGAAGTCAATTATAACTTAACTGCAATTTTTGAAGAGGGATGTGAAGTTTTACAATATTTATTTTTGGTGTATATTATTTCTTTAAAGCTAGCTGTAATATATAGGTAGATCTTGTTTTTGTATGTCTTTAGCATTATTTAAGCTCAACATAGTATAAAACAAAGTCGCTTTCTCTGTCCCTATATCCCTATGTATGCTTAAATCTTTAAAACTACGCAACGGATTTTGATGCGGTTTTTTTTAATAGATAGAGTGATTGAAGAGGAAGGTTTATATGTATAATAACATCCATTAAATAGTGGAGAAATACTGTTATTTTTGAGGTTTCTAATGTGATGTCGTAAATAATTACATTTTTTCCGCTTACATTGCAAACGCAGGCTGAACCCTACGAGATTTATCAAAATAATGTACTAAGTATTGTACACATTGAAAAGGTCTACAGATTTAAAAATTGCGGGACGTAGCTTTTGCGGCTGACCGGGGCGGAAGGTGCGTGCCTATAAATAGCGCGTCGGAGGCCGCGGTTTTCCCTATAGCACTTTGAATTTAGCAGCGATCGGACGCGTTTATTATCGGAGCTCTCTAGCGAGGAAAATAACAATATACTTAATACGTAGTCGTGCTTTTCAGCGCGACAACGTATCAGTTATTATAAGTAAGTTACGATAAATAATTGTATGATAGTAGTTTTAAAATATAAATGATATTCTATTCTAAGGTTAATTTTTAAATCGCACTTATAGTAATTATAAGTACATAAGGTTAGATAAGATTAGATTAAATAAAACCATAATTTATGGATTGAAATTTTCTATTAAGATCTTGGTTAAAATTTAGAGTTAAATCAATTTAATATTAGGGAAATTATTTTCAAAAATCGTAATTTAAGGTGAGGTATGTAGGGCGTTCGGAAACTAAGTACGTTTGAAAAAAAATAGTAAACATTTTTTCGAATCCAATTATTTTTACATGAAAACATGTCTTAAACTATTTTTCAACATAGTTTCCGCCAATGATCAAACACTTGTCATAGCGGGTGACCAGGTTTTGTATACTGTCGTCAAAGAAACTTCCCGCCAGTTTCGATAACCACGACTCCACAGCATTTTTCGTGTCATCATCAGATCCAAAGCGCTTGCCACCAAGCTCGTGCTTCATGTGCAGGAACAAGTGATAGTCGGACGGTGCCAAGTCCGGGATGTACGGCGGGTGATCGAACTGCTCCCAATGAAACTGTCGAATTAACGATTGAGTGACACCAGCAGTATGGGGCCAAGCATTATCATGGAGCAACACAATTCCTTTACTGAGCATTCCTCTTTGTTTTTTTTGAATGGCACGCCTTAGTTTTGTTAAAGTCTCACAATATCATGCCGCATTAATGATTTCACCTCTGGGAAGAAATTCAGTAAGCAAAACGCCTTTCCTATCCCAGAAGACAGTGCACATGATTTTTTGTGATGACATAGTTACTTTGAACTTTTGTTTTTTCGGAGAATGAGTGTGTCTCCACTCCATCGATTGTTGTTTCGATTCTGGTGTGAAATGACACACCGAAGTTTCATGACCTGTCACAATTTGGTTTAAAAAGTTTTCTCCCTCATCACTGTACCGCGTGAGAAATGTCAGGGCACTACCAAGTTGCTTTGTTTTGTGAACATCAGTGAGCATTTTTGGAACCCATCGGGAACACAGTTTGCGATAATTCAAGCGGTCAGACGCAATTTCGAACAAAACAGTACGTGAAATTTGTGGAAATGCCTCTGAAAGAGTTGTCATTGTGAAGTGTCTGTTCTCATGAATTGCTTCATCAACTTTCCTTACCAAATCATTGGTGACAACAGAAGGCCGACCACTCCGAGCCTCGGCGTGGACATTTGTTCGACCTGCATTAAACATTCTTTCCCACTTTCTCACCATTCCATCACTTATCGCGTATTCACCATAAACTTCTGTCACTTGACGATAAATTTCGGCCGCTTTAAAATTCCTCGCTTTCAAAAATTTAATCACGGCACGGATCTCACAATCAGCAGGAAAACTAATTGTCTTAAACATTTTGAATGTGCACAGCAAACTGAAAACACAGCATAGAGCAACCAAAATGGCGACAACTGAAAGTCAGTGAACAAGAAAGACTAGTGCGCATGCGCGGGACGCCTACCACAGCGCTAGAATGAAACGGTACTTAGTTTCCGAATACGCTACACTAGTTCAGAAAAAAGAACTTAATAGAATACGTATCTTTTGTTGTGACTTTATACGTAGAACTTAATAGAATACGTACCTTATACGTTTTTCAGTGAGTGACATAGGCTATATATTTTATACCCGTGCGAAGCCGGAGCGGGTCGCTAGTAAATGTATAAAATAAAATAAGGAACTGATGAATTGGCATCAGTCAAGTCCCAAACAGGCAAAGTACTGAAATTTTGCTGTTCATATATGCAAAAAAATATGTATGCTCAATGGCTGCACGGATTATCTATATGATGAAGAAACATTTCTGTGTTAAAATAAAAATTGAAATTTGAATCAAAGACTCAAAATAGAAAATATGTATTTTTAATTTCTTAAATGATACTTTTTGTTATAATAATTCATAAAAAACTACAATAATATCTTGCAAGCATTTTATCTCTTTGTCTAAGATTATTACTTTTAATACGTCCATTAACTATCCTTGTTCTAAATATAAGCAAATTTAAAATGTCATGGATGCAATTTAATTTAAATCACAGAAAATGATAAAATGATTAAAATTTGAGATATAATTTTTTGAAGTTTAGGATGTAGTTTCAGATAATGTTTTATTTCATTTGCACTAAGATTTTTTTTAATTTGTTTAATAGGTAGCTAAAGCATTTACAACGATATGTTGCAACAGCATCAGCAAAAGTGTTGCAATACAAAGTACTGCTTTTATGTCAACAGATGAACTACAGAAAAGTCTAGAAATTGCAAGAAAAAGTGCAGATGATATATTTCAGTTTTATAGAACTTCAGCAAAAAAAAGGTATCAACACAGAATAAAAACTTAAAACATTGTATAAATGTTATTTTTAGCTTTCTTTTTTCTTATGATATTGGAAATAAATTTTTAATTCTGTATAGCCACCAAAAACATATACTGCACAACATATTTTATTTTTGAAAAAAATTAAGAAATATATCTTTATAAAAATTTCTGCTTTTCTAGTTATTTCCAATGATACAAATACAAGATAATTTTGAACCAAAAGATACAAATCATTTTGGAAAGGAGTAAACTGCAACTGGAATATTGAGTTTATCATTCATAATTAATCAAGCAGAATGACTTCAAATAATTTTATTTAGAAAATATCACTGTATTGAATTAGGCAGACATGTAAGGTTTAGCATTTTATACTGTTACTATGGATACATGTTGGTTTATTTTATACTGTACTCCAAACTAGAAATACCAAAAAGATTCTGTTAATTAACTATTAGCATTAAGTCAAAACGTTATGACCATCCGCACATTTTTCAATGAACTTGTCTGGATGACATGGTGGGCAACTGATTAAATGGGAATTTTATTTAATTGCTCCTGGAGAAGGTAAGGAATCATTCTTGCACTTTTACAAATAATGGGAAAGGCTGCTGATTTGATAAAGGGCAGAATGTAGTGGCCTGAGGACTCTGAACAAGTATTTCTGAAACTACACAACTGGCAAAATGTTCACCTTCTGCTATTGTTAATATTTATGCAAAGTGGATAAATGACTAAACCAGCAGTAGATGCCAAGGTGTTGGACATCCACATGCCATCAAAGAAAAAAGACATCAGAGATTGTCCCACTTGGTACAGCAAAACTGACAGCCCAATACAGTGCAGGTCCAAGTGCAAGCATTTTAGAACACACAGTTCAGTAGACACTGCTCAATATGGGATTGCACAGTAGATGTCCCACTCGTGTGCCTCTGTTGACCAAGTGTCATTGTGATCTATGCCTGCAATGGGCTATGAACATTAAGTCTGGACCATGGATAAATGGAAGACAGTTGCCTGGTCGGATGAATCACAGTTTGTCATTCATCGCAGCAGTGGTTGTGTCAGGGCATGCTGTCTTCCCGGTGGACAGTTGGACCCTCCCCCTCCTACAGCAAGTCATACACAGACTGGTGGTGACGTTATGTTTTGGGGATGTTCTCATGGGTGGCTTTCGGGCCCTTCGTTGTAGTAAAACAGACCACAAAATCTGCAGACTGTCAGAACATAATTGCAGATCACTTGCACCTATACATGTCATCTGTCTTCCCTACTAGAAATAAAATCTTCCAGCAGAACAACTGTCCATGTCACAAGGCTCGAATTGTGTGCGAGTGGTTCAAGGAACATAAGCATGAATTTCAATTAATGTCCTGGCCACCTAACTTGCCAGATCTTAACGTGATAGAGCACATTTGGGCACACAAATGTGCCCTATTAAATTTGGAATGTCATGGAGTGGCAGCTCAGAGCTCAAACACTATCACGTCGGAATATCTTGAATTTGCGCGACTGCTGCTTTGACACTGATACAAATCTCCAGTCATCTACCAAGAACTTGTGACGTCCATGCCAAGGCGAGTTGCAGCTGTTTTGCTGGCCAAAGGTTGTGCAACATGTAATTGGATAGCTGGTCGTAATGTTTTGATATTTTGTTTTTCCAATGGTTGAGCACTTGCCTATAATGGCATTGACCACCCTTAAGATGTGGTGGCCATTTTTTTGTGAAGGCACCTAATAGGCGGCCACTGTTACCTCTTATGAAGGGACAGTCAATTTTTTACATACATGCCTTCACCAGAATTTGAACCCGGGCCTTTCGATATCACAGTCAGGCTTAACCACCTAGATGGTTAATATTTATATGAATTATTATGATGCATCATATTACTTGTATTAATCATTAGGATAGTGTTATGAAATCCTTTTTCAGATTTTGTGCAAATTTACTAGTATAAAAAGGCTTCGCATGTAGACTGCAAGTTTTATAATTGCTGATGACTTGCATATTAAGAATAATTTTTATTCACAGGAATTCTATTAATAATTCTAATAAAGTACTTTAACATATTCAAAGATATCTGTACAATGTTGGTAAAAATCAAGTTATTTATAAACTACATCAACGATCAAGTTTCAATATCTATTCAAAATGCTTTTGCAAGAAATAACTAGACTAAAATAGAAATTTTAAATATATACTGCAACAAAAGAATAATTTTAAGTTTGAATACTTTTATTGATATATTGTACAAACATATCTGGAATTTTGCTGCTGTCTTTTACTGGATGACTTTTAGTGTAAGATACAAACTGGCGGCGAATTCTTGTCAATTCACCAGTTGTCATTGGATTTACAACTGAGACCTGCATAAAATAAGATATTTCATATATACTTTTAATAATATACTTATAAAATAAAAGAATCAATGGTACTATTTAGTCAAAATATGAATTAAAGAAAAAAAAACATGAACTTGTACAATTTTCACATTATTTCTTAAGGTAAACTATACATGGGCAAAAAAGCATGATAATTCAAATTTGAGATAATGGACAATATGTCAAGAGGAAATAATAAAAGAACAAATAATGTAATTTCAATGATTTCACAGATGCCAACATGGAACTTGCACAAAATTTTTACAACTTGAGGTACAGAAAAGTTGGTATAAAATATGTTAGCGATAATATTAATAATTAATACTCTGTGATGTCATCCCTGAATGAATGAAAGCTTTATAACAGTTTTCCATGTTGTGTATCAGATTGTCTAGGATTTCATGCAGTAACAAAGTGATTCATAATGAATAGTTCATTGAAGCTTCTAGAGAGTGCTGGTGGGAGTTGCAGTAATGTAAGCATCCTAGCACTCATATTCTATCAGACTGCCCTTTGCCCTTAAGATAATTGGTCTTTGATGCATTGCAATAGGGACAAGTATTATTGTCCATTTGAAGGAAATTGTAACCAATTGCACTCTTAAATAACTTTATATAAAGATGAAGAACTTTATGTCTATATAATTGCACTGGTAAAAACGTGCAAGTTACCACATTAAATCAAAATCATGCTCACCCATAGCATGAATACACGTCTTTGTATATACTGCATGCATTTTGCTACATTTAAACTGTAACCCGTCTGGAATAACTATCCAAACAAAAACACAATTCATTAATAAAATAAAAAGAGAGAAATGAAAAATTACAATTCTGAAGTATTGAATAACCTAATTATAAAAGTTCAATGAATTACTTTTTTTTTTTTTTTTTTTTTTTCAAAATTAATAACCATAAATTTTCAAACATATATAAACTACTACATTTTATGTAAATATTTTAAATTACCTGAATTAATTCTTTAAAAAAATTATCTAATTTCTGCTGCTTTTTTTTATTTTCTGATGTTTGTGGGCTTGTCTTTCTTTGTGGTGAACTTCATAATTGCAGGAAGGTTGACTTTTATTTTCCTCATTTACAGTTGAAGAAATTTCCCTCGAGAACTGCACATGCAGAGGTAGAAGCAGTTTGCTTTTCTGCTAATGTAGAAGGTTTTTCAGAGACTTTTATAGGTGACTCATCTGAAATACATGTTTTTTAAGTCCTCTTGATATGTCTTCCAACTTCTGTTCATATTCAGTAAGAGATCTTTGTGAATTGGATCAGTCATTGGATTTTTTTAGCCATATTTTTCACATGAGGTTTCTTTAGAAGCCATTAAATCATATTTAATAGTCTGCACTGCATCTAGGGAATCAATCTTAAAAGAGGTTCTATACTCAGTGACAAGTGTATCCATTAAGTTGAATGCACTTTCCACTAATGGGCCATGGAAGCAGCTAAGGCAGGCTTTGACCAATTTAGCCAATGTAGGATACTTATAATCATTTGTGAAATCATCTTTTAAATTAAAAACTTTAGACCAATATTTATCAATTGTACACTCGACTTGATTTCCACTTTCATCAGATGTGTAGAGCATTTCTTTGGTGATATCAATATCACTCTGGTATAACCTTATTTCAGCCTTCTACTTTTGACTTTTCATTATCACTAAAAATATGGGACATAAAAGATGATAATTTTTCAAAAGCTAATATTGTACTGGTTTTACCTCTTAGCTCTGGATTTAATGCTGTAAAACTAATTAGATATGAATTTTTAAGGGGTAATTTCTGTTTCATATGCTGTGCTGTATTAGTATAAGCTTTCATCAGAGAAATTTGGAATTCTTTTGCTATTGGATGATTTTTTGATAATTTCTTCAGGAGAGTGGAAGCTTCTGCACCAGTAAATATTACTTTGCTAGGTAGATGGAATTCTGGATTTGTGACATCAACCTTTAATAAATCATTATAAGATGTGCACTCTATATTTTCTGGCTTCATAAAAAAAAGAGAAAAATTTTGCCATCAATTTATAAATACTGGAATGTATTGAATGAAGCATTGGTTTTTTTGTTTCAAATAATTTAATATATGTGTTGAACTCTGGTAATACTGCTGAATATAATGCCATATGCATTAAAGTTTTGTTTTGCATAACAAATAACCCATTTAGTATTCTTTTTTTTCAAGCTAAAGCATCCTTTGTGAGTTGTTGGGAATGCAAGCAAGAATACACCCCTTCAACAATTTTTTTCTGAGCTGCAGAAATATTTCTTTTATTGTATACAGTTTCAACAAAAAAATAATCCCCTTTATCAGTTTTATCCAAGTAGTGAAAATAAAATGCAATAAGAGCATCCCACAGATCTTTGATTCTTTCTAAAACACATAAAATGTACACCCACCTATGGTCTGGTCTCTTCAAGGGCTTACGTTTTTTAATGGCAAGGGATTCACAGATTTTGAAAAGATTTTCTCTTTTACTGCAGCTTTTCATATCAAAATAGATGTCATCAAACAAATCTTCTAAGTATCTATCTAAACATGAAGCAAATTTTTTTGCACAGTTATTAGCTGTGTGACATGTGTCACCATCAATATCTAATAAGTGGGGTGTTTGTTTGATCGTAGTCTGGTTTCAACACCCTTTTTTTTTTTTCCACGCATGGTGTTACATGACTCCATTAATACACTAATTAAGTTTGCCCATGGAATATTATTATCTTCAATAGTATTAACAACTGCTTTAAAAACAGCTTCTGAATTGCAAGATTCCATCTTTAGAGATGCAAAATGATGAACTACAACTTCATTTTGATTGTTGTCATAAAACTGCACCAATATTGCCAGTATACTTTCTTGAGCATTGCTAGTACTTTCATCCAAATTTAGAGAAAATGGAGTCTCCTTTTAAGTTTTAATGATATTTTCCTTAATAGTTTTTGCGAGCCCATATTTCATCTTATAACATGCAGTAGTCCTGGACATTTCCAACGAGTTTAGTGCTGTCTGATCGCGGCTCAACTGTTTGCAGAGTTCAATTAAATTGAGAGCTACATTGAAAGAAAGAGAATTCTCAGTGATAAACGAAGTTATTAATACCTCTTGGCATGCTTTTCTTGTCACTATATCCAATGACCAAGCATCGGTCTCCAGTAAGTCATCAGTATTTTTTGAATTAGTATAATTACTTAAAGTCATTGAATGTCTAATGCACTTTGAATATTTTATGTGCGTCACAGTTTTAGAATGATTTGTGAAAGCCTTGAATCCTTCCCCACCATACTTCAGTAGTGAGTTACAAAAAACACAATATGCTTGTCCAGCAACATTTATTTTCTTGCACCATGTGCCAATGGTATCCCCATTACCATCTCTCCGTTCAATCCAATTCCACCTAAATGCATTCCGGACATCTTCTTCTAATTTGTATAATATCACTATTTATATCGAGAAATTTCATAGTGAAATTCTCTTGTGTACATAAATAAAAAATATTTCAATAAATGAAACTAAAAATTTACATGTGCATCAATAAATGAAACAAAAATTTTACACAGCGGAGAAAAAAAAGTTGAGAAGCGATCAATGACAAATAGCTAATACGGTGAAAAATCTCCCTTCTTTACTTATTGGCACCACGCCAGGAGAGATAAGACCTTTGATTAAATTTCAGACAGGAAAGCGTAATCTTTCTTAAATTCAACTAAACATAAAAACACAGGACTTTATACAGTATAAAGTCTTTAATCCGGAATGATCTATAATCCGGACCTCAAAGCTACAAACTTGCTGCCCATGCGTAAACGCATTATAAAAGTAAGCTTGAACTTTTGATATGTCAAAAAGAGTTTCCAATTCTGGAGCTGCCAAAGGATCTACATAGCAAAAGCATGCTTCGATGTCCATTAAACAAAAAGTGGAATTGCTGCAAAAAATGGATAAAGGCATGAAGAAAGTGACAGAGAGGTGATTTGTTTCTCTAACCATTCCGAAATCTGTTTATCAATTTCACGCTGCTCTGCGGGGAAGGGAGGTTTGGGACGATGCGACGCGCAATAAACTGGAAGTTGATCTGTCAGCACTATCTTCATCTTCAGGGCAGATGTTTTTATTTTATTCAGCTTATAATTCCTTACTAAATGTAGTGTTTCATCTTGATGTACTCCGATGTGATTTAAATCAATTTCCTCGTCATTATATATATCATAAATACACATCAAATAGTTTCTGGTTGCAATTTTCTAATTTCGACTATGCATAATGTATGCTTTATGCATGCGCGCGTTGAAAGAAATGTTTAGTACAGTAAACAAATAAATATTAAGCTTTTTTTTTGTAAATTTTGATGCCCTTTAGATCATAATTTCTCTTTATTTCATAAATTACGGTTTCATATTTTTAATTGTATAATTTCTGCATGCCATCTTACCAGATTTAAATTGATGATCTGTAATCCGGAATCACCGAAGTCCAGACGAGTCCGAATTAAAGACTTTATACTGTAGTAGAAATTTGAGGAACAGCAAATTTTTGTAATGTTTAGTTGAATATTTCTGATATGGCACAGACAGTTAAAGAGTAAGGTATGTGTAAAAATTGAAATAACGTCCAAGAGCATTAAAGTTTCAGAATTTGAAGGGGAATATTTTGACTAAAGTAAAGAAGTGCATATATTAAAAATGTATTATACAAATGGAAGTGTGCTATGGTATAAACAAGGAACTGGTGATGATGAAATAGTTTAAGAAAAGGAACTTCAAATAAAAAGAGATATACAGAAAGAAATATAAATAGTTATATTGTAAATTTATTAATGCTACAGTGTTGGTAAATGTAGTAATTATGGTCATGAATTAATGAAAATCAAAAGGTAAATGAAATTTTCACCATTCCTGATGTCTTACTCCAAAACATACAGCTGAGAGAGAAAGAATCAAACATTTATAAAATAATACTATCTAAAAATTTTATAAAATTAGAAAAACAAGATATAACAGACATCAAATTAATGTGCATTAAGTCATGGTGTACAGAGTTCATAATATCTAATGATTAAGAAATTAAAACCTAAAAACAAATTATTTCTTTAAAAAAAAATAGTAATTAAGTATATGCAAAGAACAATTAGTTATCTCATAACAAATTATATATTATCCACATTATAATTTATAAAATGAAGCTGTAAGTACTTTTAAAAGATACCTTTTGTTTTGTTCCTGGTACAATAATATCTCCTGCTCCATGCATCTTTTGAGCTTCAAGAATTGCTTTTACTATACTAGTTGTATTTTTATCCAGATCATATAAAAAATTTGTTGATTCTAAAGGTTGCTACAAATGGAGAATAAAATTTTTTAAATAAAAATTACTTCATCTTTATTAACGTACAAATATAAATGTATCAGAAAATTATTTTAAAAGCAGTGCAAGATTCGGAAAAGAAAAGCTTTTTTCTAATATTATATAGCATATGATCTCTGTCATCTGTGCTTAAAAAGAAGGGGAGAATTATTTTTTTTAATTATTATTTAATTAAAATAAATGTTGCATTTAGATTTTTCACTCTTGAAAAATAGTTTCAATGATTCATTACAACAAGAAATTGCATTTAAAAATTACTGATGTATTGAAAACATGAGGAATGTAAAGCGCAGAATGTTTTTCTTCGCATAAAATTAGAAAAGAAAAGAATATATATATATATATATATATATATTTTTTTTTTTTTTTTTAAAGATCACATTTTAAATATATTATAAATTTTTTAAGTAAATTGAAAATTAGATGACAAAATTACGTTTGCGCGTTGGCAGTAGCATAGTATAAGCATTAAAAGTCTAGAGCTTAAATATTGATTAGATGGTAAAAGATCAATTTATTCCAAAAAATTATAATTAAGACTATCTGCAGACTTCCAAAATTTACAGCAGCTTTTTAAGATTATTAAATTCAGAATCAAAAATGTTTAGCAACAAAAGTTGATAAATTTTAAAATTACAGATTTAAATAGTTTAAGAATTTTTGGACTAATGATGCAATTTGACATTAAATATCTCAGGCTGATACAACTTTATATTAAATTTATTAGTTAGTTAATTATAGAAGAAATTTCTTTCCATACCAAACATTACTTGGTACATGAAACTTGATATTCTCATTTAAATCTATGCTTGCTAGAAATGCTAATTTGAATTATATCTTAAAAAAATAATGACTATACCAATATATGAAGTTTGTGCTCCTTAATCAATAGTTTCCTTTTTTCACTTACTAATTTTTATTTCGGTGTAATTTAAAAATTGTCCTTTCTCTTTTTTTTTTTTTTTTTTTTTAACTACCAGTTAGTAGTCATAATCAGTCCATTTTCATAATGGATGCTGGCTATTTTAATAAAAAATATGTTTTTTATTACATATTTTTTATTAAAATAGCCAGCATCCATTATGAAAATGAATCTAATTGCTACAATCAGTGAATAACCTTGCATTAAAAATGTTTTAATTATGTTTAATATTTTTAACAGTTGCATGATGTTTTTCCTTGCATATCCTTGCTACTCATGATTACACCCTTATCAGACATATAGACACAAAATAATATAAGAAACCTCTTCAAGTAATGTATTCCTCCTAGAAGTGTATACTGTTCAGATGCAGAACCTTCCTCTGTCTGGTTGGTTTATGCAAAACAGATCTTCCAATTATTTACCCTGCTGTTATAAAATATTACAGATATGCATATGAAAGAGGTCACTAAACACAATATTCTCTCCGAAGATGTGGGAAGAAACTTTCCATTCAAACTAATTCTGGGAGAAATGCATTTCTCAGAAAAATTTCACACTGCATTTTGCATCCACATATCTTGTAATACCATTAGTTGCATTGAGGCTACTTTCATTGTACACAAGGCAATTTGAGATATAAATATAAAAAACTTATGGCATGCAAATTAACTTTTGGGGAGGAGAGAAGAAGCTCCCAAACCTTTTATTCATTTATTTACTTTTATTCTCTGTCCTCTCCCAAATAAAATTAGCATCATCATCTACTAGCATTAAAATATTAAGTAAAACTTACACACTGTGTTGATAAATTTCGTGACAATCCTTTTCGTGCAAATAATGCATTTTCTATATCACTTAAAGGCAGTTCTTCATTTTTATGGACTATAAAAAGAGGGGAATCCCATCTATTCCTAGAATCAGGAGTTTCAAACCTCTGGACAAGAGCATCAAATCTAAACCAAGACAAAGTAATGTTTACATAAAATTATTACTTCTTCCTGTATGTGGAATGTAGTGCATTTATACAAATATTAAATAATTAATTATAAATTAATCTGGCCAAAAATACACACATAATTAATTTAAAAGAAACTTGCATGAAATTTTGAAATCACTGTGTCAAGCTCAATGCAAGATTAAGTCTCGAAGTTACATACAAAGTGCTGAACTTTTTTTTTTTTTTTTTTTTTTTAATACTTTACGATTATCCACACGTGCACCGAAAAGTCGGAAACTCTGTGGAGACTTTTTGGAGAACATTTGCAAATTTGCTGCTAACAATTGTTTTTGTGAAGCTAATGCACAAAAGGTTACAGCTGTTTTTAAAATAGCAGCAGACTAAGAATTCCATACAAAAACGATCAATAAAAACATTGAAAAAGCAAGTAATTTTCACGATATGCTTATTTATAATAAACCTTTTTCCTTAATGCATACAGGGAAAATAATTTTCATAATACTATATTTTCTAATATGTTCCATATTTACATGCAGTAAATATAAAAAGCATATTTCTGCAAGATACCATTATCCATATGAAGTAGCAACTTCTTTTCTTTAAAAAAATTCAAAATTACTAATTAATGTCAATTACTATATCATATAAATGCATTAAAACAGCAAATACATACATAGCTTTTTCATACTGTGTGTGAGGTTCACGTTCTTCATTATATGACCAGCAGTCAGATGGAAGCAAGTCACAAAGTATCTAAATAGAATCAAAACTAAAATGAATAAATTTTGCAATAATTTTTATTTGGATTCTAATGTGAATGAATGAATAATTCTGTAATTATTGTGCATTTCTTTTCTTTAACACAGTTTGGTATTTTAGAGTTTTCTTCAAAATAAATAATTCTTATCAAATTATTAAAAATAGACTATGAAGTTCTAGAAACTTACAACACATTGAGTTGTTTGACATGCTTTACTTAAGCAGTATAATTCATAACGACAACCTAGAAATAAACAAACAACAAAAGGTTAAACTCTGAAATAAATAATTTCTCAAAAACAATTTATGGTACTGATGTAGTAAGCAATCTACTGCTTTTATTTAACTATTTATTTCTTAGATAGTGCCTCTAAAAGGCTATTTTTAAATATGAAAATAAATAGAAATAAAATTATTAAAAAAAAAGAAAATCTGAAGGCTTTCAAATTTTATATTATGCCTAAAAGAGCATCTTTTTAACGTTTTGTGTGTTACTTTTATTTATTAAATATGTTCTTCGCACTTAAACCGCATAAAATTAAATTCAACAGACTGAATATCTTTAGAATTTCCGATACACAGTCGATACACAGCACTGGAGATAAAAATGTTTCTTCTTGTACAGTATTGCCATTGCTTGCTTTGAAATCATTTTGTTAATCAAAAATTGGTTAAATTTTACAAAATTTTAAATAGATAATAAAACAAATTCACAATTTAAAATTCGAGCTTCCAAATGCCCATGTTCGGTCGGAAGATTATGTTTTTCAAAATTTGATGACTCTAGGTATCATTGTTTTTTCACAATGCAAAAAACGTTCATGCATTTAGGCAGATTCTTCATAATTTAGTTTCTTTAAATATAAGACATGGTGATAATATTTTGTTGCAACAGTCTGAAAAGTGAAAAGATGTAAAATGTCATTTTGAGACTAATAACCCTTTGGGTCTAATGCCTCTTTGGGCTAATAATTAATACATGAATGAAAATATTTATGAAATTTTGGAATTCCATTAAATTTAAACTGCTTGCAGTTTCACAAAACAAAAGCATGAGTGGCTCTAGAAAGTGTCATTATTATGAAACACAGCCACATACTTGTGCAGCATGGCAAAAAGTCATCATCACTTTTATTAATATGCTTCTATAAGATGGAAATATTTTTAATATGGTACTTGGCGTGTTGTGTAGAATCTTTAGTTTCAAAATCCACCAATTCGATTCAGTTGTTTGAGTACTAGTACCATCTGCAAGACAATCAAAGTTCTTTTGTTGGTTTAGAGTTAATGGTCACAAAGGCAGTAGATCGCGTGCTACATCAATACCCAATTTATAATTAAACCATATAAGTAAGTGCAGCTTCTAATGTTCATAAATGATTAGTCATTTGGTTAACTGATTAAGACTTCTGCCCATATGAAGGAAAGATGACTTTCTAAAGGAAACGGTTTTGTATTTGTATTGAGGAAAACAACAGGATAGTATTCAGAAATGTAGGTAGGTAGGTATGTATATATGTGTGTTTGTATATATACACATGCGTACACACTTAAATATGTATGTTTCTGAATCCAGTTCCAATAATAGAAAATTACCATGCATATCTTCAAAAGATAATTATTATTTAAAGAGAAATATTTAACAAACAATAAATTCAGAGACAATAAAAAGAGTTTCTGATTCTGGAGCTGCCAAAGGATCTGCAAAGCGAAAGCATGTTTTGATGTCCATCAAATAAAAAATAAAATTGCTGCAAAAAATGGATAAAGGCATGAAGAAAGTGACAGAGAGGTTAGTGAAAACGAAATAATTTTGATTGACAAATTAGTCGGCATTCTCAGTACAGCAATTGCAGGACTTAAACAGCGGAACTTTGTAACTGAACAAGAAATTATGTCTGTTTATAGACTTAAAGAGAAAGTATTAGCACATAAAACAAAGCAACTTACATTGAAAGAAATGTTTAATAAAGTAAACAAATATTAAGCTGCTTTTTTTTTTTTTTTTTTTTTTTTTTTTTTTTTTTTGTAAATTTTGATACCATTTAGATCATAATTGCTCTTTATTTCATAAATTACAGTTTCATATTTTTTATTTTATAATTTCTGCATGCCATCTTACCAGATTTAAATTGATGATTTATAATCCGAAATCGCCGAAGTCCCGGCGAGTCCGGATTAATGACTTTGGTACTGTATAAGGACAGGAAATTTTTTTCTAACTTTATTAAGAACGCTTTTTGGCAGAAACTTTTGTTACAACCGGATATTATATACTGGTGTAAATGCAAAGTTCAAGAACTCTCTCAGTTACAATCAACCAGTGTTGCCAATATGAGAATGTAAAAATGCCCATTGGTCAAATTGACCGATGTGTAGAATAAAAACATGCCAATGTGAGAATCAAAATCACAATAACAACCTTGTATTTAGCATACATATATTAAAACACTCAATCGATTTCGAGGGTAGCTAAAGGTCCCTCCTCATCAGGAGAACGAAATTACTAGAAAGGGGAAAAAAGAAGAAAAAGCATCCGCAAAGGAGTCTCAGAAACGCGTGGTCATTATGAGCACTGCACGTGGTTGTAACCGTATTGAATCAGAGTTACACTGGCCACCTACTTTTACTGAGCCAGGCTATCTGATCAAACATATAACACATAGACTAAAATGGGGGGAAAAATCAGCGAAGTCTAAAAATAGGGAGCGAGAGGCAACTGCACCTTTACGCACCAAGTCTGAACTTCAAATAAAAGTTCAAAGTTCAGGCTTGGTGCGTGAAGGTGCAGTTGCCTCTCGCTCCCTATTTTTAGACTTCGCTGATTTTTTTTCCCCATTTTAGTCTATGTGTTATATGTTTGATTAGATAGCCTGGCTCAGTAAAAGTAGGTGGCCAGTGTAACTCTGATTCAAAATCTGGTTACAACCACGTGCAATGCTGATAAAAACCATGTGTTTCTGAGACTCCTTTGCCGATGCTTTATTTTTCTTCTTTTTTCCGCTTTCTAGTAATATCGTTCTCCTGATGAGGAGACACCTTTAGCTGCCCTCGAAATCGATTGAGTGTTTTAATATATGTACGCTAAATACAGGGTTGTTATTGCGATTTTGATTGACCAATGTGTATTTATAGGTGTTAATGTGAACTTATAGTGAAGTAATTTTTTACCTTTTCTTGAAATACTGAATTTAAGGTAATGAAAAATGTGGAAATGGAATATTTTATGCATATTGCATAATTTTCATTAAAACATTTCTGATAAATTAGACAGATATTTTTTTGACTGACAGTTTTTTAGAAATGAATCTAATTAACCTGAGAAGTAAAATATAGTTAGAAAGGGAGGACTTTCGCTTTGTAGATCCTTTGGCAGCTCCAAAATCGGAAACTCTTTTTGACATAATCGAAAGTTCAAGCTAACTTTTTATAAAATTGCTCTAACAGTCTGCAAAAAATAATAAGCCGGATCCAATTAGAAGATTAAGGAACAACGCAACATTAACTGAAATAGATAATTTTAGCCTACCTTATACAGTCCGTTAAACATTTAAATGTGCATGCGTAAAGGTATTATGCGCAGAAAGTTTGTAGCTTTGAGGTCCGGATTAAAGACTTTATACTGTACACCATATAGGGTATCGATTAAAAATAATACTGAAATTAAAAAAGAAATAGAAGAAATATTACATGCAAGGTATCAGAAAACCATTTCTAGCTCTTAACGCTGCCCCTGTAACTTTTTGCCTGCTTTCCTCTTGTTCAGATGTGCTGCTGTATTGCTCTGTTCTCTATATAAGCCATTGTCTGAAAATCAATAACGATGTATAAACAAAAATATGTGTGCTTGGAATTAGTCATCAAGAAATAGAACTGTGTCTTGTTATCTACAATGTCTTGAAAGCTTTTTCTCATCTACTGTATCATCTGATGTACCTACGCTATCTCTAAATTCTCAAGTCATTTAGAAATTTATCACATATATGTATATAATTATATAAAAGAAGGGAAAAGTTTTTCTTATCTTACCTTTTATGTAGTTACTTGAATCTAGGATCACAACTGTATCCTTTGACAAATGCCTAGTTAAAAATAATGATCATAATAATTATGTGAAAATATATTTGAGACAATATTTTTAAAAATTTAATTTCCAAATACAAACTAAACATAAAGGTGCAAAAAAAAACTTTTTATTCACCTTTCCACTTCTGATTTAAGAGAGGCACGGAATTCTTTTTCCTTACGCGCATCTGAAACAAAATATCAGAATTTATACTCCAACTGTTTCAAGAAAATATGACTTATTTTATTTAATAAAAGAGTAACTTGTGAATGATGTTTATTTTACAAAGCTTAAGTCATTTTCATGTGTAAAAAAGAAATTTAAAAAATGTTTATAATACAAAAAACTGATAGTAATATATTGATAAATTCAGGGTATTGATTAAAGAATTAATATCCTTAATTTACCAATATATTACTAACATGTTTAAATGCAAATTTCCTCTTATACCTAAAAAGGAACAAAATTCTTAACAGAAAAATAAAATGTCACATATACTTGTGATAATGATCTATTAGGTTATCTTACTAGAGACCGGAGTGATAGAAGTAGGATTATGATACTTTATGAAAACTAACCCAAGGCTGATTTTGAAAAATTAACTACAGTATTACTAAGGTTTTCTAAATTATATGGCAGATAAAAATTTGATAAGAAGAAATAAAAGTACAGAACTTGATCAACAAAAATATTCAGAATACTGAAAATAAATTGCATTCATTCTTCAGTATGTCTGTTATGGAGATGTAGTGCTAAAAAAATTCACTGATTTTATCCTAAAATATCCATACTCGAGAAAAAACATTATTAAAATTTTGAACACCTCTGTAAATTAGTAATTTCTTCAACAACAACAAACTACAAACATTTATTTTTTTGGGGGGGAGGGGGAATACTTAGCCTGATTTCTTTCAATTAGTGAAAAACCTATTCTAATAGTATATACTAATGAAAGTGAAATGGCATACACTCTCTATGGAAAAGGAGGATATACCTATCCGTTTGTTTTGATGATATTTTAATACTAATATTATCATCAATTACCTAGGCCTAGAGGAATACACAAGTAAAATTTTGTGAAGATAGCACTTATCTTTTAATTCTGTGGATGTGCCCAAAGTGGGCACATTGATTGAATAGAGCTTCTAAAAGAGTGCTGAAACGAGCATTGTTGTCCTAGACGGCATATAAGACACACCCTTATTTAGGAAGCCACACACACATGTAGATGTAGAAAAAGTTATGTGTGTCTAGACCTTTATCTGAGCTAAAAATAGCATTCAGTATTGAAAGTTAACCTGTGTTTTTCCTGTATAAGATGCAGGTAACTTTTTTTAGACCAAATTTAGGAAAAAAAGTGCATCTTATATGCCGTCAAATACGGTACTTGTAATTAACAATTTAACATTTGTACTAAATAGGAATACTAAATGCAAATAAAATAAAAGACTCTTTTATATAGCTGAAAATGAACATCTTAACTAATGAAACTGTTAGACTTAATTATTTTAGACGCTCATTTTCAGCTATATAAGAGATAGTTATTTTAGACGCTCATTTTCAGCTATATAAGAGATAGTTATTTTAGACGCTCATTTTCAGCTATATAAGAGATAGTTATTTAAACTTAAGTTCATAGGCTACTAAAATTCGAGAACAGATTTTTATTATGCACTGCAGGAAACAGAAAAGCATTACATTATTATGAGAATTCAAGTTTGTTAAAAGTACAAAACAATAAGCATATAATTAAACATTGTGACCACTTAGATTTATGCAGTGACCTTTTCAGAACAATTAGATAATTTATCAAATACAATTATGTGTAATCTAGATCACATTACTTCATGTCTGGGACAAAGTTTATACATTTAGCATTTCTATTAGAAAAATCAGTAATATTTATTCATTATAAAATATATGTTTTTTTAAAAGAACGAGGCAAACTACATGGAGTTACTATTAAACGTATGATTTTTAGCTGATAGATGCAAATGGGAAAATGCCATTGTATCAAATGAATACAAGTTCCTAAATAAAAATGACTGGACCCCTCCAAAAAAAAATCATATATTCTGGCATATAATGTGCACCTTTAATTTCGGTTGAAATTTACTGTATGGTTCTGCTTGGTTTCTGTCTGAAAAAAATCAGCAAGTGGTATTGATTGTTTGTGAAATCTGGAAGCCTGCTGCATGAAATAGGTTTTTTGGTAACCCTCATTTTGGTGAAACTACTCTTGGGGAAAATTGTGAAAATTGCCAAATGAGTTGTGATAAGGTAAAATAGGTCGATGTATACATGGATAAAGTTCAACTAGTGAGCAATGCCTAGTTTGTGCAATTCTCTGATTTTTTTTTCCCCAAGTTAAAATAGGCCGACGTGTACATGGACACTGAGTTTGTGGAAGTGTTTGATTTCTTATTTTGATTTTATGTAAAGGGTGGAAGGATCGGCACCTTCGTAACGCCAACCTTGGCGTTAATAAATCAATGATTTGCCAAGTGGAACCATAGAGTAAATATAAACCATAATTTCAATTATATTTATTAATTATTACATTTATTAATTTTTAGGTATATTCACTATTTAATAGACACCTTTTTCTTTATGAAGGAATCTGAAAGATACATGTACACTACGCAAAAAAAAAAAAAAAGGGTGGGGGGACAGTTCTGTATCTCCTGTTCTACTGGGCTGATTAACAAAATTCAACTTGCATTTTTCATGTCTCGAAAATGCGACTTAGGATATGTATTAAATTTATATATAGCATTGTTGTATTATAGGTATTTTGACACAAAATTGGACTTTTTCTGAAATGAAATGCCAATTTTTTCCATATTTCAATTCTATGGCTCAAATTATGCCATAGTGCTAAATTATGTAAAAATTGCATGAGTAGTTTTTAAAAAATAGCTCTCCAAAATTTTAGCTCCTCAATGTTAATTGAGTTTGGTATATATTGATTAATCACTCTTTTTTTTTATTAAACTTATTTGATTATTCATTTCACAATTTGAAATTCAGGTTCATTTCAAATAAAATTCACTCATTTTTTATGAGATTTATTTTTAAAATTTGTATTTTTAAATAATTTTTATCAATTTTTCAAAAAAAAATTTGAATTATAATCTTTAAAAATTTTACTATCATCTTTCATCTTAAAGTAGACATATTTCTAAGCATATCTCCAAAAAAATGACAGTTTTTTATTCAAAATTTCTGAAAATATATGTGAATTTATATATTGGCGCATTTGAAATTCGGCATATTTGTTGAAAGCGATAAAACATCACGTGTGGTTTAGACACTGCTAAAATTATCTGACAGTAGGAACTATGCGACTTTTTTTCCGCTCTGGCATAATGGAGGCAAAAGAAAAATTGGTTGCCATATATTAATAAGTTCACCGAGTTAATTATTCTTGGCGCAAATTGAAAAAATTGTGCCAAGATAAATTTTTTAATTTCTCCATAAATTTCGCACCAAATTTTATTAAATTTAATATCTACGCATAATTTGAGTCGTAGAATTGAAATATGAAAAAAAAAATTGGTATGTTATTTCAGAAGAAGTCCAATTTTGTGACAAAATACCTATGTTAGTACAATGCTATATATAAATATTATATATATATATATCCGGCTCTTATATGGGCCCTAATATCACCAAATGTGACGATATGTGTTCTACATTGGTTTTGGCACGACTGCGTGTTGTATGGCAACTCTGTTGAAGTTGAAAAATCTTTTGCTGGGCTGGTTTAATTGCTTGTTGGTTCATGTCATGTGTGTTTTGAAATGGCCTATGTTGCAATGATAGACGTGGTGGCAAGATTTCAGTCGCGTATTTTAGATTATATGGAAAGTAAGTTTAGTATTAAAATGTACAATGTTGGAGTTGTTAATGAGTGTTTTGTTCACGGGTGTGTTTATGAGGATAGAAATGTATTTTTGGAATTTCTGTTGGAGTTTTAAAACGGAGTCCGAAATGCAGAGCTGCTGTGAGAACTCGGACGAAGAGGTCGTTTCTGATAGTTTTTGGTTGATTGCAGTCAAATGGTTGCTGGTAAAGTATGTGGCTGTCAGCAAAGTTTAAGATTTGAATTGTGGTTTTCGTGTAGTATGTTAACTTTGGAGGAAGATTTTATTGTAACTTTTGAAATTTTGAATCTCAGAAAAACATGTGATATAGCAAAATTGTGGCACTTTTGTTCAGAGACGTTGTGTGACTGGCAAAATTTTATTCAGGAATGTATTATGGTAAGTGCATTTTATTTTACTGTTTTTATTTTGTGGAATGTTATGTTCATTGATTTTTCAATATAAATTTCTGTTGTTATTGTTGTTTTTTGAATTGTTCGTAATTTAGTTTAGTTGATTTGTGCGCAATGCCTAGATTGTGCAATTTGTACATGTTTTTTTAAAGTTTAAACAGAATGCTGTGTACGTGATATTCTTTGAAATTTACTGTTGTGTTCATTTATTGAAGCGAGGTGTGCATAGTTCATAGATTCCTTCACTGCCTAGAATGTGCAATTCCTAGATGTTTTTTTAAGTTAAAACGTATCGCTGTGTACATGGATTCTTGTCAAATACTTTTACGTTTTTGCTATCTAAATTTTTTTTTGTTTCGGATTTTTAGCTTGAATTGTGTCTTCAAAACGTGGTTTTTGTATGTGAGAAAATCGCATTTTTGAAGACATTTTAGGCTTAAAATTTGAAATGTAGAGAAAAAATTAGGTAGTAATATGGCGGCATGGAGTTTCTCACCAAAAATGTTTGGCGAGAAATTTAGCAACCTGAGGGCACATATAAAAGTAGTTCCATATATCCTACGCCACGCTTTCAAGACATGAAGAACGCAATTTGAATTTCGTCAATTGGCCCAGTAGAACGGGAAATATAGAACTGCCCCCCCCTTTTTTTTTTTTGCACAGTGTACCATGCTCTATCTCTTTAAGTCATGTGTTCAAACAATGGTATTGAATTGACATGTTATAAGGGAAACAATACGTCTCTGAAAAGAAATGCTTGATAGAAAAAATAATTCTGCAAAGAGAGTGGGTTGTATTCAGATACACAGAAAAATGTTATTCCAGGGTTTCGAGGAAAAAGACAAAAATCTGGGGTAAGAATGCACAGATCTGAATAAATTCATGGAATTAAGAGTCGGATGTTTTCTTTTCTGTAAACATTGAAGGCTTTAGTAAATTGCATTTGCTTTAGTTAAAATGGAGTTGATCTAGTTTTCCTTTTAGTAGTTAATTTGGCACCTGCCAAATGAAACAACTAAATCCTGGACAAAATGGAAATCGTGTTGTAGCAAGGATGCTGGAATGGATGATTTATTTGTGGATCTCAGGGTAACAATGATGGTGAAAATAAAACAGAATTTGATGATGTGCCTGAAGATATAATAGAAGACGAACTTTTCATGTTATCCGATAATGGAATTTTGTTAGTTCATAATGTATATCTTTTTTAAAATAAATAGCACGTTTATGTAAAAATCTAATTTTTTCCTTATTTATAATCTATCATTTTTACATCAGGCATATAATGCGCACCAGCAAATTTCAATCTTATTTTTTGTATTAGAAGTGCATATTATATGTCAGAATATATGGTAAATAAATAATTGCATAAATAATGGTATGATTAAATCAATTACTGCATAAATACTGTATAACCAAATAAATAACTGCATAAATACCGGTATGATTAAAACAGAATCCAACATTTAAATGTAAATTATATAACAGTTTTTTAGTAGAGCAATGAATGCCATTAAGAAACTGAAGCTATGAATATGTAAAATCTAGACTGATATTCTACAGAAAGTATCTTTTTAAGTTTGGAAATTTAATCAAAAACATATTTTGGTATTTTCCAATTTAATGTGAAAAGCTGTAAACAAAAGTTTAAATTCATAACCAACATAAAGGAAGAGTTACAACTCTTGTTAAGCAATGATCAAAATTTTCTGTGAAACTCCCAACAAATCTCTTCAGCAACTTCATTCTTTTTAAAGCATAAACTCTTGTTTTTTAACTTCATTTTCCTAATTAAGTTTATTGTCTGAAATGATCCTCAAGTGAAATTTTCCGTATTCGACAAAAAGTCGACTTTTATACTAAAGACTTGGCTGGCTTTCCGTACACACTGTGAAAAGCTGAAGCATGGTTTTGTTGTGATTAACTGTGATTTCATTTCCAACTGACTACTTAGCAAATTTAAATAAACCCTCATCATGAAATATCGAAATAAAGTAATATTTACATTTTGAGGACCGGTGAATTTTTCAATATCATTTATTATATGATTAAGTAAAGTAAAATCCTCTGATAAACTCTGTCTAGCTCACTTACTACTGAATCACATAAATATCAAATGACATAAATAAAATATACATAAGAACTGAAGCTTACATTTTCAATCTCTGTTTATGTATCAGTTGTTCAAGAAAAGAACTGAATTCTGAGTAGTAGTAATTCAATATAATATTAGTACTCACACAGCACTTATAAAATGATACGTCCAGTTTGACAAAAGCATAAATTCATTGCACTTCTGCTAAGATACTTTTTTAATTGTAATCAAAAATAAAAATATTGACGGTTAAATAATAAAATACATGGAAAAAATTCATGATATTAAACATATCATCCACTCGAACCTGCATAAACTTCATTTCTTTGAAATCCAGTTGCAATATCGTCATCTCTAATAATAATTGACTTCCGATTCGATAACTGTAAAAATTCATTAAGTTTTTTTGCAGTCTCAGATTTCCCACTACATGGAATACCGCATATAATAACTAAAGGCATGATCAAAGAATGTCTATGTATACATATTCTCTGGCATGATGTGTATTCTCTGTATACAATTGAAGAGACGGTAAGTTGCCATTCAATTAAGTTTGAATTTTGAAATGGCTTGATTTATTTTTATCTTTTTAATTATCAGGGAATTGAACCAAAATTCCGGTTTAATTAAGAGATGAGACAAGTCATTGAATTCAGTTTCTTTATAAAGTTTATAAAAGAAATATTCCTGTATTTTTTTCTTTCCCACTTGAGCTTATTCAAAAAATAAACTTATCATCTAAAAGACTTCTAGATTATTTTTAACTTTAACTGTGTTTTTTATGTATTTTTATTTTGTTCCAGGCCTTTTGAACTCGTATAAAACAATACAAAGTTCCTTTAACTCTCCTCTGGAAACCGAAATCGCCGCCCTTTCTATATACCTTTCTTTCGTACCTAAGCTTGATTTTTCGCCCATCGGAGCAGAAAGACTTAGCGCGTGAAAAACAAGACATCTGTCTATTTTGTCTGTCTGTCTGTCTTTTGTTCGTTTACAGATTTTTGTACTTTTTCTCTCAAGTTTTAGAAATTAAAGTAAGTACGTTAAAAGAAGCCTTAAAATGTGCTTATAATTGCTGCCTCAGAAATTAATGTTTTTAAATTCATGCATGGAACAAATGCTCATAATTCAGTTAAAAGCAAGAGAAATTAAATTTTTGTCTCGTAATTGTATTCTTAATATTTCGGCATGAATTCAGTGAATATGTTAACATTTTAACTTTTACATTTCCACTGAAAAATTATTCAAATTACCAAAAAAAAAAACATTCCGTTTCAAAAACAAGTGGAAATTTTCGTGTTACATGAAAACCAATGCTCTTCTGAGTATATCAAATCCAATATTTCTTCCGTTCTGTATTTCTGTAAAAGCGCTCGTTTATGGAATGTGTTTTGTGTGATATATGGATATTAAACAATGTTTTTCTTCAGTGAAGTCAGTTAGTTTTCATTATTGTAAACTTTTTGTAGATGCAATCAATTGTTACTTGTTGATATTTTACATATAATTATTCTCATTTAAAAATGCATTTGAGTTACTAATTGAAATTCATGCAATATTCACGTTTATTAGCATAATTTTCAATCAGTAGTCATGAAATGCTAAAGAGGTCAACAAAGTTAAAAAACATCAAAAATTTTTATGTAAAATCATATTTTTTAATATTCAGTATTTCAATGACGTTAAAAGGGAATCATTAATTTAGATATTGAAAAATGTTACATTCAAAATAAACTTTGTCCTCTTTTTGGATTAAGACTTAAAAGCCTTAAGCACTTGATTTTGGTGTCTCCACATACATTTACACCTTTTCTTCCCTCATTCCTTCTGTCTTAGTTTTAGTGTAGCTACACCATACATTCCATAGTAAAATCAGTAATGGAAAAATGATTCTTTCCTTCAGTTCCTTAGTAACTTTTTCTGGTGCCCCTCTACCTTAATACTCTAAACATGTGCTTATTTTGGTTAATGGTTAATCCAACTCTGATACTAATTCTCCATCAGTACTGCTTATTGATCTACACTTGAGCATTACTATCATTTTATTATAATATTTGGCTGTATTGTCAAGAAAAACAAAACCTCAAGTTATCTACAAAATTTGCAATTCGTATCATAGACTAAAAACTAGCTTGTATATTGATGTTATGAATTATAAAAATATAATTAATCCCTTAGAAAGTCCTTCACTAAAGGCAGAGATAGCCTTTGTGTGCTTTGCTATGTTTAACCCAACACTGAGTTGAACTGTGTTGCTCTATAAGAAAATAAGGAATATATTAAAAACGGTATCACTTCCAGGAAAGGAAATTATGTATTATTATTACTAGGAATTTAAAAATTGCACTTGTTTTCTCAAGTAATTTAGCTTCTAAATTGTATAAATAATAATGCAACACTAATAAATTTTATAAATAAGTATTGCTTTAAATCTTTATAGTTGAGTAACTAAATGATTAATTATTACCTCCACATAATTTCTTATCATCAGATAATCTGCAAATGCATAATATGTGAGCTATTAATATTTATTTGCTGACTGAAACAGTTAAACAGTTTTTTTTAATATGGATGAAAATATATGAATGGGAGAATTATTTTTAGCTTTCATTTTTCTTGTGATCCTTTCTCATATGTTGATGTTTTTCTTTCTGCCGTTATTATAGCCAAATATTTAGTGAAAGCAAAATCTAAGAACATCCCTAATTGAATAAAATCAACCAATAGGAAAGTAAATCAACCAATAGGAAAGTAATTTCTTTAAAAATTGTATTGATAAATGACTTTCTTAAAATCAGTTATCTCTATTTTAAATCTAAATACTTACTAGAAAAATTATGGCTTCTTTGTCTTGGTATGGAAATGCTTTTTTTTTAAATATATGCATCTAAACTGTATAAATGATAAAGCATTAAAACTTCACAGTTGAGTGAATAAATGGTTAATAATTGCCCCCTTATTTTTTTATCATTGATAAACAAATCAGGAATAAGTTTTTTAAGTCTATTCTTCATTTGTTTTAATTATATCTTACTTATTGTTATATATATTTATGTAATATTCTTCACTAATTATAGGTTGTATGATGTCTTTGACTAAAGAAGAATTAAAACCTCAAGTTGATAAAACAGTTCAGAAGTTTTTGGGATTTAATGAACCCTCTTTGGTTTCGGTTGCTGTGCGATGCTTAGTTAAAGGTTATGATCAAAGAAAAACAAAAGGTAAATTGTTATTTATTTGTTTTTCTCTTTCTGCAAACAATTAATATGCAAAAGAAATTACACGTTTTAAAATTTTTAATAATATGAGATTCACTTATATTGTGAATGTAAAATTATATTACTGTTACACAATGCTAGAATGTATTTAAAAATGCAAATTAGAAATAATCAGGAAAAAATAAATATATTTAATCGTATTTCTCCGCCTTTACAATGATTGTGAAATGGAGGAAAACAAATCTTATACTTCATAAATATTTGTCCAAATGCGAGTTAAGATTTTCTGTATCTGATGAGTAGTTTAAAAAAAAATTAAAAACCATAAATTATGAGGTTGTGTTGCATGAAATCTAAAGTATTATTAATACACTATAAGAAACTAACTTCTTTAAACAATTTTATTAACAAGAAAACAGGATTGGAACAAATACTAAGTGATCTTTTTAAAACGAAATTTCAGTGAATGTTTATTTTTTGAATGGTCTTTTTGTGATGCCATTTTACAAAAATTAAAACGTACAGACGTTAAAGCAAGGCCAACTTATACTCAAGGCCTGCCAGTGTGAAAATATTCTTTTGTGTTTTCGGTTGCCTGCGTGATATTCCTACTGACCGCGAGATGGCGCTACAATTCTGCTACACTTTGCGATGTTTACAGAAATCGGAAAGTACCAAAAACGAATTCTGTTTTGTTATATAAGTTTAAAACGATTAACTAGTAGTCAGAAATTGTGATTTCGTATAGTAATTAGAAGGAAAGCATGGAATTAAGCTATCTCACCTTTTTTTTTTTTTTTTTCACATAAACACCAGCTATTTCATCTCGATTTTAATTCCTGCTTTCATAGACATGCGCTATTTGAATTGTACCATTAAACTATTTTTTCTATTTAAAGGTTCAGAGTATACACCTTATTTTTTAATTATTTATATAGTAAGCAGATCATGCACTATTCAGTGAAAAATTTTCAAAATATTTCTGTCGGCTGTACTGGGCCAAAAATAATTTAGTATTCCCTATCAAATATGTAATTAACAGATTAATACACCGTGATCTAAAATTTGTATATTTGTTTCCAACGGCATTGGGTAAAAATATACTAAAGAGATTAATTTTACATACTGAAGAATTTTTTTTAATTTAAATACTTTTTTAGGAAATCTTAAACAATAAAACTTTAAATAATGCAGATTTTGATCTCTGTGCAGTATTGCATTGCAGAATTCAAAGACATTCTAAAATAATTAGGCAAAAAAAAAAAAAAAAGTTTTTACTGTGGCATAGATTTTGAATGAAACTCAAACCCAAAGTTGTTTTTTGACTAATTTTAATATTACCAGGGTGTTCTCTTCACTTCATTTGTATTCTAAATTTCATTGATGTTAACATTAAGAACTAGTAATTGAATTAAGTGCATTGCAGCAATTACATTAGAAACTTCAATTTTCAATGAAAATAAGGAATTTTTGATTAAAGCTATTGATCAAATCAATCTGTTTGGTTATAAATAAAAGAGACAACAGATCATAAAATATAGTTTACAGCACACAAAAATAATAACTCTCATAATCACAATATATATTTAAGAAAACGTTCAGTCTGTATATCAAGGATAAATTTGAAAAACTGCAATGCCTGAATATAAATTATATATCCGTCACACATGCCCACAATGCTGAGTAGAATGAGGTATATACACAATTTTAGATATATGCATTTAAAGTTAGGCAAAAAACAAGCTTATTAAATGCATCACTTAAATACAGCAGGTGACATTTTACCACATACAACATTTATCGAATGACATGTGTACAAAATTTTATGGCTGGCAGCGTGAGATATTGATATAGTTCATTATCAAGAATAATGTATACACGAAATAAAATTACTGAATTTCACAAAACAATATTATCACTATTAAGCACACATATACATGAGTGCCATCTTGATACATTACCTACATGAACTACCTGACATAAATCCATGAGTACCATTCCCATTCCATTCCAGATTAATCAGAGAAAGTTACAAACAAAGTTTGAAATAACAGCATAGATGCACAAAGATTTCAGAATTAAATAAGCAGAATGAGAATTTCAGAACTCAGTTCAATGAGGATATACACAATTTTAAACCTATATGCAATATAAAGTTACGCAAAAAAACCCAAGCTTGTTAAGTACAGCCAAAAAAAAAACCACAGCAGCAGAAAAAAAAATACCCTTTTTGTTAATAACGAGCCACGTTACAAATAGTGAGCGTAAAACAAAATTGTAGCAGAATGCAGCGCCACCTAGTGATGAATTTCGCGAAAGCCACTGAAAACTGGGAACCGGAATTTCGTTCAGTCTGGCAGGCCTTGAGTATAAGTTGGCCTTGGTTAAAGATAAGATGAAGAGGAAACATAGAGGGCGCTACTTACTCCTTTCCTAGTGAAAGTAATTAAAAGGCATAATCCTTCTGGGCTGGCGTATGGTACAATTTTAGAGAGGCGGCGTATGAAGTACACCAGTCATTTTTCGAGCCTCTGCTTCATGTTTGAAACTATTTAATCTTATACATGGCATTAATAAGGTGATTTGTCATAGTAAAAATGATATAAGAAAAAGAATAACAGAAAAAAAGGGTACTATTCAGTTTCGAGGGCTGTAAAAAATCGCAAAACTATTGTTGATGCCAATGCTGCCAAAAGTAATTGCGGCAACCCTAATAATTGCTGCAAGAAAGGAAGTATAATAGTAAATAACTATCTAAGATTGATGTTTTAATTTAGATGAAAGGTTCATTTCATATAATACTTTTTAATTATTATAATTTATATGAAGGCTAAACATACTGAATGGAAGCATAAGAGTAAATAACTATTTCAGATCATTATTATAATTTATATAAAAATTGCTAAACATAACTGAATGGATGCCTGCATCGCTATTTCGCTGACTTATCGCTAAAGCATAATTTCATCTAGTTGGTTGTTCAAACGTAATTTTCTATAATGAATGATGCCTTTTCCTTGAAAATATTCTTGTTAAAGTGCAGAATCGCTCACTTATTTGTTTGCCGCTTTTTACAAGGGTAAAAACAATTGGATTTTTGTCAATTTTCTTGTACTTTTTAAGTGAAAATAGGTTGATGTGTACATAGATAAAGTCAAAGGTGTGCGCAGTGCCATTTTTGTGCAATTCTAGGATTTTTTTTTTTAAGTGAAAACAGGTCGATGTGCACATGGATACCGAGTATGTGCAATTCTTAAAAAACGCGTCAAGCAGTGGGTGATTCTGCACTTTACCCAAAATTCTATTGCCGACTTTTCGTCATGGGCAATTCCCAAATTGTTAAATCCATAGGATATCAAAAAAAGGATTTTAAAATAAAAAAGGATTTTAAAAATTATTAAAGTATTCAATGGCATCTTAAGAAATATAGAACTATATAAACTTACGCAATCTGAAATCAACGCGTACGCTAGATTTGGCGCGCTGTTGAATGGGCGCGTTTGCTAGATTTGGCGCTTGCGCATACATTTTCGCTGCAATATTTTTACGGCCCTCGAAACCGAATAGTACTAAAAAAAGCAGTAAAGAGGGAAACTACGAATTTTTAATTAATTCAAAAAATGGAATGAACTGGAAATGTAATTTAAAGTTAAATAGTATTTTGCATTATTTTCTGTATGAAAATTACAAGATCATAAATGAAATTTACAAATTATAAATATTCCGTACAGACAAGTTCGGTAAGTAATAAATTTCACAAATGAAAAAACTTTAAAAACACCTTTTGCTACTTTAATACTCTTCAGATTATCCCTATTCACTGCAGCAGGATGTGTTGCAAATTTGTACTGTCCCTGCCCAGATGATTTTTGCAGGTAAACTTAGAAATTCAGAACGTTTTATGGATAGTGTAATTATTCCTTTATTCTACCACACTCAGCGCAACATCCTTTGATAATTTTCGCAGGCGGTTCCTCATCCTTTTCGGCCGTCTTGTCCACCTTTGTAGTTACCAACCTTCTAATAATAGCTTTGGAATGTGACAGGAGAAAATGGCAATTTTCAGACAATTTCTGAAGATGTGGATTTCATCAAAGATGTAGCTAGATTTTTTTAAAAAATATCTTCTAAACTTGATGTTTGTATCAGGTTTGAAGTTCAAGAGCACTTGTGAATTTATGCCCGCTACGTTTAGCAGTGCAAAAAGTATTGGCATTGTCCACCTCGTGGTTTTTCGGGCGACAGTGAAATTACTACAAAGTTGGTCTATGATGTCAACTCCGCCTTTACATTTGTTATAATACAGGATTATGTGAGGTTTAGTCTTTCCCTGGTCAATTTTGTCATCATCATGCAAAATGCTGAACAGTATTACTCACTTAATTTTTTTCGTTGCATATGAAACAATTGTCATATCCTTTTGAAAACCAAACAGTCAACTGCTGATTTCTCTTGTTTTTGATGGCTGGAATTCATTTGGAATTTCCTTTTTATTTTTGTTAAGTGTGCCCACAAGTGTTATACTTTGGTAAGAAGATATTGAGCTAGCGGGTAGCTCGTGTACCAATTATCGGTCGTCAGGTTACGGTTGGAACCTTCGTACGCACCAATTAGCCTTTTGACAATGTCAATACTTGAATTAGAAGCCTCGTAAGGTCCTGGGGGGTGATTGTCACAGATAAATTTCAAGCTTCAATGTGTAAAATGTTCGTGAGTCAACAACTGCAAAAATTTTCAGACTTTACTTTGCAAGCTTTGTTGGAGATATTGAATAAAAGAGCATCTCCACGAAAGGGTTCCAACTTCTCGGCCGATTGTAAGTTTCGTCATCTGGTGTATAAAAGCTTTGACAGTTCTGATTGAAAGATTCAAATAATTCTCTTAGTGCAGCAAGCTTGTCAGTTTTTTTTTGCACATACCTTGTGCCTTTATCGTTGAATCTAATAACAGCACACAGGTTTCTGAATCGCTTGAGACCCATGACTCCTTGCAAAATTTCAATA